GCCACCTTGGGTGTACATGGCTGGCACCTTAGCCATTTGAGCCACAGGCACCAAGCCAGGGTTATTTTTTATAAGGGTAAAATGTTTGGATTGACATCCCTTTTTAAAGAAATTTGATAGAATTTATGAAAAGATAATTGTAAAGTTTTACAAAACGTGATCACTTTTTACGTATCTATAAATAATTACAGCAAGCATGGAGTAAGTGTTGTAAGGAATTTGTTGTCATTTGGAAAGTCAGTTTTGGAATAGAAATATAATTATTGGCTCAGCATCTGTGGCTCAGGCAGCTAAGGCACCAGCCACATACACCTGAGCTGGCAGGTTCGAATCCAGCCCGGACCCCGCCAAACAACAATGACGGCTGCAACCAAAAAATAGCTGGGTGTTGTGGTGGGCGCCTGTAGTCCCAGCTACTTGGAAGGCGGAGGCAGGAGACTCACTTGAGCCCAGGTGTTAGAGGTTGCTGTGAGCTGTAATGCCACAGCACTCTGCCCAGGGTGGCAGCTTGAGGCTCTGTCTCCCAAAAAAAACAAAACAAAAAAATATAATTATTATAATCATATAAATATATGGTTAGAAATGTTAATGTAAAAGTAATTCTAGCATTTTGTATCAGAAGTGTAAAATGCCAGTATACATGGGCATACTTATTACTTAGGCTAATCCAGTGAATTGTGAGGTGGCATGAGAGGGAGTTTCTACTTTTCTGTTTAAATTAAATATAAATATGTTATCCATTGTAAGAGTTTTCTGTATAATGTCATGTTATTTGACTTACTGTTTAAATTTTACTTGTTGAAATTATATTTATTTATATTGTATTCAGTTACGTAAAATTTATTAGGACCTGGGTGGATACCACAGAATTATCCAGTAAAAATACTTAAGAGTCTAGATCAGTGTTCTGTAAATTTCTATGATCATAAAACATTTTTTTTATTAAATCATAGCTGTGTACATTAGTGCAATCATGGGGTACATTGTTCTGGTTTCATATATAATTTGAAATACTTTCATCAAACTGGTTAACATAGCCTTCACCTCATTTTCTTACTGTGTTAAGGCATTTATATTCTACACTTAGTAGATTTAACATGTATCCTTGTAAAATGGACCATAGGTGTGGTCCCACCAATTACCCTCCCTCTCCTCTTTCCTCTTCATCTTGGGCTGTAGTTGGGTTATAGCATATGGAAGTGTGGGTGTTTATAAATCATGAAACATTTTTTGAATTAAACGATTTCTGATAAAAGTAGCACACATTTAATAAAGTATTTTGATGGCAAAGTAACAATTTCACAGAGTAACTATTATCGAAAATGTTTAATTTTTCTATTCTACATGGCAGAAATATCCATTAAATCACAGATACGTTGAAATTATTTAAACAAGTGTCATTAACACATGCCAGCACTAATCAGAATCTACATGGCCACCTGTTTATACTTTGCTACACACACAGATAGGTCATGTACTCATGTGTTAATGATTTTTCTAAGAAATTCCTTATATTTGGGGTATGGCATACCATTTTTAAAAAGAGAACAGAGCATGATGACAATAATAGTTATTTATAGGGTGGCACCTATGTCTCAGTGGGTAGGGTGCCGGCCCCATATACAGAGGGTGGTGGGTTTGAACCTGGCCCCGGCCAAACTGCAACAAAAAAATAGCCAGGCATTGTGGCTGGCACCTGTAATCCCAGCTACTTGGGAGGCTAAGGCAAAAGAATCGCCTAAGCCCAGGAGTTGGAGGTTGCTGTGAGCAGTGATACCACATCACTCTACCAAGGGCGATAAAGTAAGACTCTGTCTAAAAAAAAAGAGAGAATAGTTATTTATATGTGTTTACTTTTATTTTACCTTTTTTCCTCTATAGTATAATTTAGGAAATTTTGTTGCTGATAATTGGTTAACAAAACAGATGTTAGTGTTTTAAGGCACTAGTGTTCTAGAGAACACTAGGAGATTGTAATCTTTTGCTGACTAGTAACTGGTTGCTCTTGGTTTCTAGCTCCCGGATGGACGCATTATCAAAGTTGGGGGAGAGCGATTCGAAGCCCCAGAAGCTTTATTTCAGCCTCACTTGATCAATGTTGAGGGAGTTGGTGTTGCTGAATTGCTTTTTAATACAATCCAAGCAGCTGACATTGATACCAGGTACATTTGAAATGATGGCGTCTAAGTTATTTATCAGAAATAGATGAAATTAGGACAGAGCCTTTCAGTGGCTAGAGCGCCAGCCACATACACCAAGGCTGGTGGGTTTGAACACAGCCCAGGCCAGCTAAAACAACAGTGACAATTGTAACAACAACAA